CAATACAACACACAAAGCAGCACTCAGATTTAGTTTTTTGTAAATGTAACCTAAGAACTATTTCAGTGATAGCAATCTGCATTTTTAATAGCATGATACATCAACCTGATTTTTTCTTTTAATGTATTGCCTTAAGGGGCTAAGGAAGGTACTTCTAGCTGATGAGCTGCAGCTGGAAAAGATACTAGAATAAAAACAATTCTACCAAAGATAATTATAGCGCACCGGGGTGGATAACTGTTAATTTGATTGCTCCCACCGCTGTGCCAATTTTTTTGTATATGCAGAGGTGATTAGAACTAGTTACATTTACAAAAGTAACTTTTGAGAAAAAAAAGCAGTAGTTTTACTTCATTGTACTTTTTACTTAAGAGAACATAATGTAAGTATTGATTTTACAAACTGTATTGCAAACAGTATTACTATATATATTTTAAAAAGGATCTCTCCCACCTGAAATTGTTATGTAAATACTGTATGTTTTTATTTATTTTTTATCTTAGTCATTGAAACTCCAGAAGTGGAGTAAAACTTTACATGTTTGAGTAACTTAACATATATTTTAAAATATCAAACCAGTTTTTTAGATAATTAAAAAGGAGATAATTTACTAAGCACCTTGGAAGTTATTATTTTTTATTTTTTTTGTACACAAATCTTTTACTCGAGTCATTTCTTGGAAAATACTAGTGCTACTAATACTGGAGTAAAATGTTTGGTACTTGTATATTCAGAAAAAAAAAAAACATGCACTGAAACATTTCATCAGAGTCAGTTAAAGCAAAAGGCATAATTTATTGTTAGAAAGCACTAGGAAGTTTGCCCTTTATCAATGAAAATGCCCTTTTGAAACTCGTTTTTTTTATTATTATTATTATTATTAAGATTTTACTGATGTTGGTTTTGAAATGATCTTTTGAAAACCTGAGCCATTAAAAACGACTGAAACAATGCCCCGAAATGAGCCACCTCCGACTCACACTCGCACACCCGAACAGCCTATCTCTCTCCCTTTTTCACGTGAACTCGCGCGGTCGCCCGCAGATGCGCAGCATCATAGCAGTTAAGTAAGCATCTTCAGATAGCAGGAATGGTCGCTGACAGGCTGCTTTTCCCGTGCCCCATTAGCCAGGTAATATACAGATCAAGCAAAATCATTTTGTTGTGCATTAAAATGTCTCAATCAGCAGCACCAAACAAGCATTTTTGCCGACTGGTCACCTGATAAACTAGTTAGGCTAGATAAAGTTTTACACTGTAGCCCAAGTCAATGACAGATAACGTGAGGACGACCACATAAGCTACGAATAATTTCGGTAGAGTTTTCAATTGCAAATCTAGGTGTTAAGACAAACGTTTTCTGTTGTATAGGTTTTGTTAGGCAACATAAATTAACACATTTTGGTCTCTTTATTGTGTTAATTGTATATTGATTTAGTAATTGCAGCACAATGCCAAGAAAGGTAGGTTAATTGTATTGAAAAACCTTAAAAGCTGTTCACATTTTATTTTTAAGTGGTTTGTACAAAATCAGCAGGTATTAAAATAGCTATTATTTTGTAGGCTACCATAAGTCATTGCTATTATTATTATTTTTATTATTATTATTATCATTATTATTGTCATGATGGCTATTATTATATTGTAGCCAGTCACAGCAGGGAAGCTCTATACCATCAACATCTACCAGGACAGGAGATGAGGAACAGTTCAGGGAAGACACAGAGACAGAAAAAGACCAGGATGAGGGAGAACAGATGGGTGAGGGAAAACAGGGAGATGAGCCAGATGAAAGAAGAAAGATGAGCAAGTAGTACGCTTTAGTCTGTTCTGTTGGTGGTGTGACTTTTTTCCATTGAAAACTCACGTTTAGAGAATGTTACAAATAAAAGTCACATTTCATTCAACATGCGTGTGTATTTTTATTTTTTTTATAATTAAGTGTTTCACGTGCGCTAAAAAGTAGCCCCGCCCCTCCTGAGCACCTGCCCCCCAAAAGTCTGTGCACGCCTCTGGATGTAGAATCATCTGATGCTAAAAGTGCAAAATTCACCTTTAGAGTGCAAATATGTAATGATATTCTTATTCCCATCATGTGTATGAAAGGTTCTCAGCCAAACTATATGCCTTCACCATTAAGTGAGGTATTTGATCCTTACAGCTACCATATAAGGGTTTCACTCAGTCCATAGCTGTAGACATATTTACACACAAAATCACTAGTGCTGATTTATCGCTGGCTTTTTAATCATCACAATTGCTCACAATTCATTCTGAGCTCAGTGCCACATTTTGCATATCGAGATAAAAAAACATTGATCTGCAATTATTTTCTCAGGTTAAACCAGATTTCCTGCTCTTTGACACAAACTCAACGTTGTATTACCAACATTTCCTATCAGTCTAAAAACGAATGATTCATTCAAATAATAAATTAAACACTAAACAGGAGCTAGAGGCCTGCAAATGCTTGTGCTGCCTGTGTGGTCTGCAGCGATATCATTTTTAGCTGCTCCTTGCCAAACATCCCAAGTGCAGCTGCCAACACCATTATAATTAAAAACAATGGAGAAATTAAACTCATTTGGTGCTTTTAAAAAACACAATAGCATCCGTTGTTTATGACTGCATGAGTAAAATGCAGTTTTATGTCTTCACATTTTGTAGGCATGATGGTTTACACAGCAGACATGATACAATAGCCCAGTCCTTTCTCAAGTTATATGCTAACCTGGCTTGTAATTGAAACCTTGAGGACTAAAAAACATATTACATTATCTGAAAATAAAAAGAGGCTAGTATAAAAGTAATCTGTACTTTTTAAATACAAATCCTTTCTCCACATGCGTCACATTTTAATTGGGGTTTTTATGGGACAAAACCAAGGCAACATTGAGCTGACAGGATTTTGAAAAAAAAAGTGTTTTTTTATTATCCTTTTATTTTGATACCACACAATAAAATCTGGTCCAACCAATTGGCTTATTTGAACTTTTTACTAGGAAGTAGTAAACTTGTCTGCTGTCTGATAAACACAATTTGAGGAGCTGCAGGGATCCACAGTGCAGCTAGGAGTATTCTATTAGGCAACAACATTTAGGCTCAGCCCACATATCCTGAACTGTAGCTCCGATCTCTGCCTCCTAAGTTCTGCATTCTACATCTGCAATTTGATCACACAAGGAAGAATCAAGTCTTGCTCTTTATCATTTATTTCTATTTGTTCCATTTGCCAGCACAGAGCTGGGGAGAAAAAATAAAAAAAATTTGTTCACTTCACTCTATCTACAGTACATGGAACAGTCTTCAAAAACATAGGCAGCTAACTAAATCTATAGTTTTTAAGGCAAAGTAAGGATGCCTCCATAAATTGTAATTGTTTAATGTTAATCATGTTTTATTGCATTTTTGTGTAATTGTAATGTTACTTTTGATGCCTCTTAGCCAGTACTGCCTTAAAAAAAAAATAGGTTTTTAATCTTAGTTGTACCTTTCTTGGTAAAATAAAGATATAAAAAAAAATTAATTGAAAAGCTCACCACTTGCTGATATGGAAATTTCCCTCTATTCCCTTTTAAATGAATTAAAATGAAAAACTTTCATACAAACCTATAAGAAAACCACCAAGTTTCTAGACCCAGATACTTTAGATTTAGATTATTTGTAAACTTTGCTCAGAAAATAAACATGTGTAACAACTGAATGAAACCATCTCAGTATTTCATAACTTGTGTGTGAGAAAAAAAACCCTAAAAAAAACTCTGGTTAATCTGTGGATAAGGAAACTGCTTTTAGGTATAGATTCAGTTTTAACATGCCCTGCAGTTTTAAAATGAGCTGCTTGCTGAACAAAATATAATCTTTGCTACAGCTTGCTTTTCTCCCTCTTCAAGCATTTTAGCGCACCAGTCATTATACAGAAATAAAAGCCCTTAGAACACATGACAAAGCATTATTGATCAATGTTAAGGTAGGGGAGCATCTCAAAGCAAATCTGCACAAAACAGGTTTCTCCATTATTTTAGAAACTTGGATCAAAATATTCCATGCAGGCTTTACTCTGCTTTAAATCAAACCCAACATCACATCATGGCTTCAAACTCGATGCCCTCTGCTGCCAAGTGGTCCCCTTGTTCTCCCTGCCCAACCCAATGTCCTTTGTGATGTATTGCTGCTTTTGTCGACTGCCTGCCTGCCTTCCTTCCTGCTGCTCATGCACAGTTGATTGCTTTACTTTGTTCTGCTGCTCATTTTCTCACTCCCCGTTCCAAATGACTGCTCATAGACCGACTCCCTCCCAGAGTGCCTGATTGATTGATTTATGGGGGTCGATCAGCGATAACCTTACCCACCTGCCACGTCACATGCTCAAACTCAATGGGCAAAGGCAAAAGGAGAGACTCCTTTTCTATTAATCTTTTATAGGAAATAAGCTGTGGCACTATTGTTCTGTACTGAAAAATGGTCAAGTAGAAAAGGATGCATTTCTTAATTTTGGATTTGCTTTAACTAAGCCCAGACCACCAGTGAAACATATAATTTAAAGCCCATTTAGGGAAATTAGGGTATGCACCATTAGTACTTGCACACAGATTGTTAACAGACTATGGGATTTGTCAAAGGCTGACCTTCTGTTAAACAACACCTGTGTGAAACACTGAGCCAAAATGCTTTGTACCCATTAGAACCAATAGATGGCACTCTGGTAACAGACCTAATTTATAATGAGGAACCAAAATGAAGGAGAAGCATTGACAATTTTAAAAGATTTTATATTTGGGAGAGGGTGGGATATGACTTGCTTTGGAGTTACAGATGAGAAAGCAACAGCACAGGAACTTGTAAAGATGTATGACAGCATATACATTTGCAGTGAAGTCAGGTCATGCAAACCTCATCTCCCCTCCCATCAGCCCTAAAATGGTAGCCTGTTAATACATGTCATGGTGACATTATCTGACAAGACAGCTGTGCTACATGTCGGGCCCTTTTCTTCACACTCATTTCGAAGGCATCTTTGCTTTTTTCAAGCTTTGAACCAAAGCTTTAGAAAGTACTTGATGCGGGTTGCGAGCAAGGCGACCAGCATTTCTGACCCCCTTCCAAAAACCAGGCCATTTCCGCTTTCTGTGCGAGAGACGAGCAGAGCGTGGAATTGGGACCGCTCTCTCAGGATTAATGCCACCATGGTATGAAGCATGAATTCTGCTCAGAAGGGAAGAAAGCCCAGCATAAGGCAGGCCACGTTTTTGGGGTGCATACTTCTCTCCAGGTGGGTTCCGTTCATTGTGGACAGACAGAAGCAGCCCTCTGTGACCTTGAGGGTGCCAGGTCGCTAGGTAGGGACGGCTGGGGGCTTCAGCAAGTGTTGGTGGAGCAATATGTCCAACCGCTTCCATACTGGATTCTGGCTCTCCGAAGAACTGACCTTGAGAAAAGTGGGGCATTTGGTCAGCCAGATGTCTCCTTGATGCTTGTAGGTATGGGTCATGGCTTAACTGGAACCCACCGGAGGCCCTGGGGAGAACTTGTCTATACAGTGTGGGATCAAAAGGGGTTCCCACCACCTGAATATCCCTGTAAGAGTTCGTGTTAGGTTCAGCTGCAGCCGGGTTATCAAAGCTGAAGGTTTTAGAATGCATCAAACCGGCAGCTGGTGAAGAGAGATCAGGGGCTCCATAGATTCCAGGATACTCCAAACCCAAGGCAGCGGCACGAGCTGAAACAGACATTCTAAATGTAGACCCAGTTCAAAATTAAAATGTAAAGAAAGACAAACTAACATAACAGACTGAACTGCAAACATTAGCATGTTTCACACAGTACATGTGAAGAAATTTATTTTTTTTAAACCATGTGAGGAGGGTTTGCCTAAATGTCCGGTAACGAAAAAGGACTGTGGGCAACGGTATAGATTAAGGCAGCAATTAGGAACATGATGGGCTCCCTATGCTGGTTAGTCCACTTCATCCTGAAGTGAAATCAGAAATTCAATTTGTTCTAGTGAACAGAAAGCTGCTTCTTGGTAAAGTTGAATCAATTTAAATACAATAATTCAACTAAAGACTTGCTTTAATTACAACAAGAGATCCATTTAATTATACTTGAACTTGAATGATCTTACACTGGAGAAATTCACCTCCGCATTTAACATATCCCCTTGGGGAGCAGTGGGCTGCCACTGTGCGAGAGTATGGGGTTAAGGGTCTTGCTCAGGGACCCAGAGTACAGGCTGTGAGGATCAAGCCAGGTACTTGCAACCTTCTCAGAGAACATGCAAACTGCTCTAACCACTAGGCCAACACCCCCCCATTTCAGTACCAGTTAATTTTGGTAGTAGAGCTAAGACAAACTCTAAATGGTATATTAGAAAAAAATAATGTTTGGCTTGAAAAGGATTAAGAGAAATCTTATGGTTTTGTTATTAAAAAAAAAAAGCTGCAGGGTTGACAGTTGTGAAGTATACAATTCCTCATACTGTCCTCAGAGGACAATCTACAAAAAAGTTAATTGCAAAACAAACTGAGTGTTTAGAGTGCTCTATCCAACAGCAGTTGAAGGTTGAGCGGAAGGAAAAATATCTGGATGGGTGCATATGCAATAGGATTAACAAAGAACTGAATTGATTTAAAAAAAATAGTCAATTCAAGCACTTCGAGAGTTTTGGAAGACATAGGACTGGTTAGTGGGCTTAATGCTATTTAACCCATCCCAGTGGGGAGCAGTCGTCTGCCATCGTGGGGTACCCGATGAGCGGTGTGGAGTTAAGGATCTTGCTCAGAGACCCAGAGTGGCAGTTTGTGGGAGTGGGTCTCGAACTCAGAACCTCAGTATTTCAAACTCTATGCCCTAACCACTAGGCCAGTCATTGATGCAAGGTGAGCACATAAACATTTACCGGTAGATTGCTTGGGTATACCTTTCCGAGAGCCAAACATATTTGTATTGATTAGATATTTTTCTGTAACACAACATTTTTAAAAAGAGAATTCAGGGGGTTTTAATGAACCATAATCAAAATAAACAGAAAACAATTTAAATTTATATCAAATTCTAAAATATCTCTGGGTTTTTTTTTTTTTTGTTGTTGTTGTTGTTTTCTAGGATATTTGGAACAGAATACAAATTACATATAGTCCAGTTAAACACACAGAGTAGAAAACAGTTTGGGACATAATGGCAATTAGTAATAAATTGTTCAGGTGAGGAGCATTGACTGGATTGTGTCATCCAAGTAGCAGCCCCTCATCCTGAGCAAGCAAGTGGCAACAATAGTTATCTACAGTATGTTAGCTGTGTCATTTTAAAAATGTCATATATACCCACTAATTGGAAATTATCAGTATTCTATAACAGTAATTAAAGCAAATTACATACCTCTTGCTGTTTTAGCACAGTAAGCACCTCCAGCTGATACAGAGTAAAATACAGCAGTACTGGAAACAACAACAGATGGTTAGATGAATAAAACAAATAAAAATGGAAGGGCAGGGCTGTGAAAAGTTGAGATGGTTTCATGTCAAATTAAATAATACCTCAGAAAACACAAGAGATGCAGACATTTTTGGAATGTCATCGTAATCCTCATGGCAGCAAAATGTTGCTGACTTCTGACTCTCCAAATGTTTTTGCAAAGCATCAGACAGCCTACGACCTAAAACAGAGACTGATTTGCTGATTACAGACAGGTGTTACCATGCTGGTTAAAAGCAAACCACTGAGTCTGGTAATCTACTTGCTAACTTTTTTTTTATGGAAATGGGTAAAAAAAAAAAATTTGGGATTCATCACAAAAAGATACTTGGATCTTTCTGATTTTAATTGAAGAGAACATTAGAGAAAATGTAAAAAAAAAAAAAAAAAATGAATATATTTGTGCATTTTTAATGTTCTACATAGTGCAATGTTGAAAGTTTTCATTGTTTTTTTACTTAAACATAATCCCATGACTCAGATCTTTAAACTATAAAAAATAATTAGCAATTAAAAACTTTCTGAATCATCAGACCCCCAAAATTTCAAGTGAAACTTTTTATATATTTGCCACAATGATCGTAAATAAGTAAAAGTATTTTAACTTTTTAAAAGTCTTTTGAAAAAGTACAGTTTAAAGTCTTAGCTTGTTAGTTAAAGAAGCAGAAGTTAGAATACAGCAGCTCAGGTTGGGAAGAGGCTGAGTGCTGTGCAAGGATTCAATAATTCAGGCAAATTATTATTTGTGTCAGGAGCGACAAGCTTAACACGGGCTTGATTCAAATCTTTAATTGCACACTCACCTCTACCATGATCCTACATGTGAAGATTAATAGGCCTAGGCTTTATTTAAACGATACTAAAGATAATAATGGATTTCAGTTCTGATGTTCAGGCAAAGCGGGGAACAGCTACCAGTCCTTCTTAAATAACCTTTGAATTTTGACTTGTCCTTCTCAAAGACTCTTAAAATGGCCATTTTGTTAATGAGCCAAATGATTACATTATTCTCCAAGAACCAGTTTCCTCACAACAGAATGGTTTTGTGCCACTTCAGGCTATTCTTCGAAATTAAAACTATCTGCAGCTGCATGGCCTCTTATTTAACCTAATTTTATTTATACTTCTTTTGATAATTCTCCTCATCTAAAAAATGAAAAGAAACATTGCAATCAAACATAATGAAGGTTAACAAAGATCTCTACTGTAGGTTGAAGACCTTTGCCTCATAACTGTTTTCACAAGCATCTTACATTATTTGTTTACAGTATGCACAAACCCTTATAAGTGTGTTTCTTTTGTCTTATTTGCTCATGTTTATCCATATTTGTTTTGTGCTGACAGGAAATATGGGACAGCACCTGTAAAGGAAGTAGAATCTCCTACATTCCCCATTATATGATGGCTGTAGAATAAGTTGCATAAAAGTAAGACAAAAGTAGGTCAGGTTTTTTTGTTTGTTGGTATGATTTCATGATGTTTTTATTTGTAACATAAATGAGGGAAAAATCTAACTGAATGTCTGCTTTCCATTTTGAATAAAACAAAATAAAGTATTGAGTTTCAATTGAACCATTTGTATTTTAAAGGGGAATAATTTATGGATTTGCATTTTTTCACTATTGTTTTCTCATGAGAAAATCCCATAAAAAATACCCTGACCTTTCACCATCTTCAATGTGGGCAATGCTTTCTATGTGCTATGCTTCAGTAAGTGTATTTGCATTTACAACCTTTTTCCAAATAAAATGATCTACCGGTAATAGATTTCCTAACAGAGAGCATATTAAACTACTGCTACAATCCTGTGTTAAAGTGAACTATGTGCTACAACAAAAGCAGTGCCATCCATTGTGTTCAGATGCACCTATTAATCAAAGAGACGGTCATAATGGGGCCAAGTACCTGAAGCTCCTCCTGTGAACAGAAGACAACAGGATCTACTGGACCACAAAGGGCCCTTTATGCTTGTCCCGAGGGCTGCACAGTGGAGGAGTGGGTAGCACTGCTGCCTTGCTGCAAGAAGGTTCCAGGTTCAGTTCCTGGTCTGTGTTTTTTATGCTTGGGGTTTGTATGTTCTCCCTGTGCATGTTTAAGTTCTCTCCGGGTACTCCAGCTTCCTGCCACAGTCCAACAACATTAATTTTAGGTTAATTTGCTGCTTTAAATTCTCCTCAGATGTGAGTGTGTGTGTGAATGGTTGTTTGTCCTGTTTGTCTCTGTGTTGCCCTGCGATGGACTGGCGACCTTTCCAGGGTGTACCCCGCCTCTCGCCCAGCTGGAGATAGGCACCAGCACCCCTTACGACCCCAGCACGGATAAGCGTGACGGAAAATGGATGGATGGATGGTTGTCCTGGTTAGAATTTGATGTGAATGATTTTCCAGAGGTTTGTAACAGGAACATTGATCTTTCTTCCCTGGTTCTAATCTTTTTCTTTTAGCATAAGATAGATGATACAATTTTGAAACCCATTACTAAAATAAGAGTTCTTTTGATATAGATTCAAAAATAGGATTGATTAGATTAGGGCTCTAATCAACTTTGATTTTCATACAAAATAACTATTGTATGATAAATGATGTCTAGCTTAGAATTGTCTGCTATTTTATTCGATGTTTGTAAATATAAGTTTATATTAACAGATGTTCTTTATGCTCCACATTAAATGAATTCAATTGATAAGCAATGAGATCGATTTGAGTTTTGATAATCTGTTAGCAATAATGAACACTAGTGTCTTAGTCGCAAATATTTGCTAAACTCAAAGAAACACAATGGAAGAAATAGAAAGAAGCCCTCAATCAGTCCTCACCTTTTCCTTCACACAGAAAACTGTGTGTCTGTTTTAAGAGTACTCTACACTTCTCTTGAACTTTGCAGTTTGACTTGTCGATCTCTATGGAGTTCCCAAGATTGAGAAAAACACATCCACTCACTGAGACAGTATATCACACCCAGTGGAAGTGACTGCTGCATGTCCATCAACAAGGCGACTGCATTGGCTTTGTGTTTGTTCCAGGAACACTGAAACAGACATTTACCTCATGTGGATGAGGTTGAATTGCTTGACATGCTGCCTCTGGAGGCAGGTGATGGTAAACAGGGTCAGCAACACACTATCAGTGCTCCAGCTCTTAACCCCAGCCCCATCAGTTGCCTTCTATCACCACCTCTGGGCCTCATTTGTGATGATCAGGAGACCTGTAGTTTATCTCCACAGAAAGAGTGCACTCCCCGGACTGCCAAATGAACTCAGACACCACAGAGTTTCCGTTCCAGCGTCTTTCCAGTAAAAGGTGTAATTTAATGCATTGCAGTGAGATTAACAATAAAACGACTCACATTTCTTTGGGGATAATTTCCTAAACTTGTGCAAATATGTATTATAATCAATTAGGCCTATTAATATACAGTCCTCAGAGGATTCACATCAAAGCACACAATCCAATTAGGACTGTTTACTGTTTAGATTGAAATGCTCAGTGTTCCGCTCTTAAACCCAATCCGCATATCTGTAAACAGAATTGCCAGGCTGTCTTTACTGATGGTTATGTGTGTGTGTAACGTGGATGTGTGTGTGTGTAAGTGTGTGTGTGTGAGAGAGAGGCTTGCATGTAAAAGCCAGGACAGAGATAACGAGGGAAAACATATGCAGCCCTATAATCTTTCACATGGTTTTTTTGCATTTATTTTTCATGTTATACTAAAGAAAGCACCCCTGAAATTGAACTGGAGAAACAAATTTTATTTATGTGTGATAGTCAGGCAAAAAAAAAACAGTACATGAAGCACAACAATTAAGGATTTACTTTGCTTCTTTTCTGTTACTTACCTCTTGATTCCATGCACTTCAATTTTAAAACCAGACACACTTTTTCATTGGATTCAAGTAAAACAAAAAACAAAAAATACACAAGGATTGGCATGGATGTGAGAATCAGTTATCAATGAACATTTAGTTGAAGGCAGAGGTTGAATTTGACCAATCTGTTTTGTAGTTGCATTTTGTAGACTGTGTTCAGGTAAGTGGCTCAGCATCCCTTAAGGTGTACATAAAGCTGCTGGTTGCCTGTCCATACATATATTTTGTGATAACGTTATGAACGCATCCCTGTGAGTTCCATGATCTGGAATATATGCAAGTCTGTCCTGTGAAAACCTTTATCACTTATATAAGTAATTGTCATAGTGATCCAAAGGATCTTCTCACAATTTATGCTCTGATATGTATTGCACATTGTTTATTTAGCTTCTTATATCATTATACAACAAACAAGAGTATGCCAGGGGTGTGAGGACATCATACAAGTAGTAAAAATAGTAAAAGGTTGGTTTGTCAAAAAGGAGGCAAAGGAAAAATCAATAAAAAAAAACAACTCAATTTGTCAAGAACACACTTTGTTTAAAATACTATTAGATTTTTAAGTTATTTTATTATGATGTTGTTTTGTATAGTTTTTTTTGTTTGTTTTTTTGTTTTTGTTTTTTGCTCTGAATTAAATCAGGTCTTCAATGTAATGACATGCATTGGTCCCCAAACAGCTGATTGGCTGCTGGGTGGAGCGTTTTCTAGGATTCAGATCAATTCTGAAAGCTAGCCTTTCCCAGTGCAGATTTACCGTTCAGAGTATGTTAGCTTTGAGACTAGCTTTGTTAAGAATGAATATGGCTTTGTGGTACCAGAAAGTATGGGTTGAGGCTGAAGTTGTCTTGCTAACCCAGTAATATGGCTTTGTGGTACAGGCCCCAAGGCTTGAATCACCAACCCTTTGGTTGCGAGGCAAACTCTGCATCCAATACCATTGTCCCTGTTAATGGTACCTGGAATTTAATACCTCTTTATATTATAAGTTCTAAAAATGGTTAATACTTGGATTTGCATGCTGTACATTTACACATCAGTATAATTATTGTCTAGATCCATAACTATTGAACACTAAACTAGACTACAGCCAAATAGTCAGGGTAGTAAACCATCAATAACCATATGTATTGGTTGTTTCCAAAATCAATGGGTTGGTCAGTTAATATATTGGTGAATCTAACCAAAATTGGTTTAACCAACTAGACTGGCTGAAGTCCCAGACTAACCATTCTTAGAGTGTAAAAAGCTATTTAACAACAGCT